TGTGCATGCAAAGTGTTGGACTAATCCTATGAATGTCAGACATCGGCCAACCAATAACTATCTTTCTTCTTTTCAGAACTGTTAAAGCCACTTCAACTTGTAATTTAGACAAATCTACTGAAAGAATCATAATTAAGGTTTTATCATCTCCCAAAAATGTATATCTGAGATGTGATGGAAGTGTGTTTTGCTCTGACTGGGGTGCTACTTCAATTGATGGCTTGGGTGGAGGACCCAAAACCCTATTCAAAGGTTCCTAATTGTCTTTTGATATTCTCACACTTGACACATCCAAAAATTGTACTAATTCATGCGCCTCAGCATCACCATATATTTTATGGTCCATCAACACTCACTCTAATGCATCTCTAAATGCAATGTAGTGATGTTCTGCAACAAGATCATTGTTATAGCCAACAACTCTTCATACACATCCAGAAATTTCAGTGCCGGTACATATCAAAGACCTTAACTTTATCATGAGCCATCATAGTTAATTGACATGCAGCTACATCTATCATAGCACATCCAAAGGCCAAAAAGGGTCTCCCAAGAATGAAGGACAGGTCACGCTCAAAATTCAATACAACAAAATCCACAAGAAATATCAATGATCCCACTTGGATCAACACATTTTCAACAACAACCTCCGGCCTAACTACTGATCGGTCTGCCAACTGTAAGATAATGGTAGTGGGTTTAGGGCTATCCAACCTTAATTTCTTGTACATAGATGTTAGCATACAATTAATGCTCGAACCTAGATCACACAACCCTTGGGCATGAATGTTCTGCCCTATAGTGATCTGAACCATAAAACTTTCCATATCCTTTAGCTTAGTAGGCAACATTTTTTGAATTCTGGAACTACACTCTTCAATAAGTGCTACAGTTTCATGTTCTATTAGTCTCCTCTTGTTCGCTACAATCTCATTCACATATTTTGCATACCTCGATATTCCCTACAAAACATCAACAAAAGGCAGATTAATGTGAACTTGTTTGAGAAGAGAAAGAAATTTACCAAAGCATTCATCATCGTTCTACTTTTAGAACTTTTGAAAAAATGGTGAAGGTGGTTTTACTTTAGTTGATACTAATTCCTCAAGTGTAACCTTTCCATTCTCACTACTCTTCTTTTCCTGCCATCAAATTTTATTGTTTCTCTTTTTCGGAGTCAACTCCTCCAATTGCAAACCACTTAAAGTACCCACAACATTCACCTACCTTGGATTAGGATATGTATTACCTAGCAAACCCCCTTGAGGGCATGAGTTTTGGGAATTAGCAAATTGCCCGAACTATTTTTCTAAATTTTGTGTCACCAATTGATTATTTCTCATATCAGCAGCTATCATATCCATACTTGCACTCGCTCTAGCCTGCTCAATCATGATCTTCTTCAACATCTCCTCACTACTCATGCTTCCTTACTGGCCATTTTGATTATCTCTTTAACCTTGTTGTTGATAATTTTACCTATTACCTTGGGGTCTATATTGATTTTGGCCCGGTGCCTGATTTTGGTTTCCTCCCCAAGAAAAATTAGGATGGTTCAGCCAACTAGGATTATATGTATTTCCATAGTTTTGGTTGGCCCCTCATCGTTGTGAAATACCTACATAATTCACAACATCTGGTTGCTCCACAATAATCGGTAGTATGTTCACCACTTCCACATATCTCTCACCATGTTTGTGGATGTTATACAACATTCACTTGGGCAGGCTATTGTCCCAATGACGTATTGCTGAAATGGATGTTCATCATGTTTTGCATCGCAACAATTTGTGTAGCTAAAGTTGTAACTACATCTACTTCCAACATTCCAATAGCCTTTTGTACCGCAGGTCTTGTGCCTCCTCCATTCCACTCAGGATTTCCGGCCTTGTGAGATTCTATATAGTAAAACAAACAATTCAGCATAAGTCTTCTCCAAAGTTTGTCCTCCTATAGCTTAATCAAGTAAAACTTTTGTGTTTGGTTCCAAGCCCTTAATGAAGGTGTGTATAAAAACTTCATTCACTTGATGATGGTGTGGACAACTTAACAATAACGATTTGAATCTATCCTATGACTAGTATAAATTCACCCCTCATTTCTACTTAAAACTCAGTATCTCGCTCCTAAGCTTGGCTATTTTCCCATATGGAAAGAATTGTAACAAACATTTTCGAGCAAGATCATCTCATGAAGTAATATAGTTCGCTGGCTCCGATTTCAACCACCTTTTTGCTTCCCCTAATAGAGAGAAAGAAAACAAGGTGAGTCTCACATAATCAGGGGATACTCCCGTTAAAGTGACGTGTACGTGTCATAGATTTCAAGGAAGTTTTGAATGTGTACTTGTGGGTCCTCGTGAGGTAAACCAGTAAATTGTCCATTAGTGTGCAATAATTGCACCATATTCTTCTTCAACTCAAACCTACCACCAGCAGGTTGTTTCTGAATACTCGAAGTAACATTAGTTGTGCATGGATTGCTACGTCACGAACTGTCATCTCTACCATTGCTACAGGTGCTTCTAGTTCACCCCCAACTAGAGGGACTGGTAAGTTAGTAGTGCTTGTCTTCTCCGGTAGTGAACAAATCTTTCTGGTTTAGTGAGTGGCTCTACAAACTCCTTTTCACCTTCCGTCTTGACATCCTAAAGCAATCATGAAATAACCAATAGATAAGATCAAGTGGCCAACACTTGAACAATAAACTTAGAAACTAGGTAAATCAAATAATTCTTTATTCCTAAGTTCCCGGCGACGGCACCAAAAACTTGTTGCGCTCAAATGCACACGCAAGTGTACGTGGCCGTGCAAGTAATAAAGTAGCATTTTTCAAGAGCTGGTTGTCGTACCTATAGAGACTTAAGATTAGATTATATTTGATAACCTTAATTTAAAGCAAGTGTTTCCATAATGGTTGATGAATGATTCTAAATTATCGATTATTCAATGTAAACTAAACTAACTAATATGATTCGATTTAGGGTTGGAGTTAAAACAACGACTTAGGAAATTCTAGGGTGCCTACTTTGAATTCATGCATACTATCTCCTTAATGGACTTCAATTGGTTATCAAATTACTGATTTACAGGGTTATATGTATGATCATAGTCTCCCGACCTCTAACCATCTACTGTTATTAGCAGTCTAACTACATCGTTTAGCGGAGATAGATTACCGAGCATTGCATTTTCATCGTGTTTATCAACCAAACAAGGTCTCTAGGTATATCCCTATCCTAGATACAAATCAACCCTAATTCTAGAGAAGATCATACTCCTTTTATCTCACGTTCTATCCTGATATTCCTCTCCCGATTTTAATTCGGACAATAAGTTTATTTCAATGGTTGTCAATCACGAAATACTAAATCAAGGACAAAAGAGAAATTTATGCGATAACCAATTTCAATCCATCAAATTCAATAATATACAATCATCAGGTAGCCACAACCCTAGAATAAGGGAATTTAGCTACTCATAATATGATTTTCAATCTTCAAGTTAATATTCATAAGAGGAATCGATAAAGGTAAAGAGTAGGAATGAACCCTAAAATTGAAGAAAATAGTTCTCCAAGTCGCTGTTCTCCAAAAGCCAGAAAAAGAATAATTAAAATAATAAAATCCAAGTCTATTTATAGTTTGGAAAAAGTCGGCCGAAAATTAAACCATAGGTCTGCGACGCGCAAGTGCTTGAGAATTTAGATTTTCTTGAACTCTTCCTCTCCGCGACGCGGAGAGGATACGCATTCCTCTGTCTCGACACCATCAATGTAGGAATAATAAATTCCCTTTCCACGAGGTGGAGAGTGCACGAAGCGGAGGTCTTCTCATTTTGAACTTTCTTTTGATCTTTTGCTACTTTATCTCTAGTGCTTTTGTGCCTAGGCCCAGCTCCACTTCACGTGCAATAGCTTTTGTGCCTGTTTCACTTGTTTACCAACCTATAATTACTAGTCATATCGGTTAATCAAAATGAAATAATATGACTCAAACACTATCAATAGCACGAGAATTTGTCCTCAAACTTGGCTAAAGCATGGGCGTTATTTGGCTCCTAGGCATATAAATAATCCCAAAATCAAGTATCATAAAAAGAATACTGAAATTAAAATCGAATATAGTACCGAAATATATATATATATATATATATATATATATATATATATATATATATATATATATATATATATATAAACACACACACACTACTCTATCTTGATTAAAATGTCTTTTTTGTGTAATGAGTGGAATTCTTTTGTACTTTCTTTTGAATATTTCTACATGGTAAAGTGTTAGTGTGATATAATATATACACTACTCTATCTTGATTAAAACGTCTTTTTTGTGTAATGAGTGAAATTCTTTTGTACTTTCTTTTGAATATTTCTACATGGTAAAGTGTTAGTGTGATATAAACGTTTCTTGAAATAGCAAGTCATATTTCTGTATTATAAGAGTATATGTAAGTCGAAGTCGAACAAATTATGATCACCGATTCACCATATTCACCATACACAAAATACCAAATCTAAACTTAAAAATACCAAACCATACCGAATTAACATAATATGATAATGATATAGTATGTTTAAAAATTGAAATTTCTGATATCTACCCCATGCCCGCAACTCCCTCCCAGTGTGAATTTTTTTCTTAATGTTTAGCTCTTCACTTTGTACTATGAATAAAGTCCATATTTAAATGATATGAAGTAAAACCTCTATAGCTGGTAAAATTAGCATAAAAGACAACTATATAAAACAGATATGAAGAAACAAAAAGCAAAGTTAAAAACCAGTAGCTCTGATTCCTCATACCAAATGACTATACACAGATCTCACTTGTCGACATAAACTTTTCCTCTTTGTCCTTCCCAGTGAATAAGCAACTACATTTCAGTGTTGATAATCGAACACAGTTACTACAACCTAAATTAGACCAAACACCTTTAAATACCTTGGTAAAATTGCATATTTGCATAATTCAAAGCCCATGTGCCACTAGTAAAAATTCATTCTTTCTTGAAGTTTTGCCAAGTGCTTCTTACCGTTAAGATGTGCAGCCATAGCAATCTCATCAGGGCACCTAATGTCACAAAAACTACACCACAGCTTAGAATTATGAGTAGCACCACCAGCATTCTTAACTTGTGTCTGCCTTTGATGTTGCCCGGTAGTAGCTCTCAGTTGGACATTTTCTTTAGGTTTTTTATTAGTGCTGTTCTTGTTTTGTGCTGCAAGTGCATGTTTTACTTGCTTCTGCTTAAGCTCTGGTATATTTGAAGTAGAAGGTGGGTTTCTTTCAGTTTTGGCCGTTCTCTTCAGCTCTTCACACTTTATCCTATGTCTCGTCCCTAGAAGATGGCACTTCAAGTCATGCTTTGAGGTGGTTGTCACTTGACATACCGCACAAGTCCACTCTGTCTGAACATTCTTTAGAGGATTGATTTCTGGGAGTTTAATCTCCTTGGCATCTGCTGGAAATGCAGTATCCTTGATCTGCACACCTGTTGTTTTCTTCTCAATCTGAATTGGATGTTCCTTCACACTTTTAACCTGCAGTTCCACAGGGGACGTTTCAATCACTGGCATACACATTATTTTGCTTGATTATAGAAAAAAATATTGGGCCAGAATAAAGGTAGTATTAAAGTTTAAAAAGAATTAAGAGCTTCAATACTCTCCCTTAATTCTTTAGTGTCTTCAGATGTTCACAGGAGAAACTAAAGGGTCGAAAGCTTAATTCTTGATCTCAGAGTGCATTATGACCACGGAAGTTCTAGGGTTAAAAAATAATAACCTGTTTAGCCTCAGCTGCTTCATTAGCACTGTGCTCTGGTTGTGCTGCAGCTACATGTGTTACTTGCTCCAGATTAAACTGATTTAACTTTGTTGGAACTGGTAAACTTCCATCACTTTTGGCTGTTTGTTCGCAAGTTTTCAGCCTTTCACACTTTGCTTTATGTTTCCTTCCATTAAGATGGGATTTCATGTTTTGCTCCAATGTGGTTGTCATTTTGCATAATGCACAAGTCCACTCTGTCTGAACTTTCTTTGAAGAAGTAACCTCTGGAAGTTTAATCTCTTCAGCAACTGCTGGAACTACCATTTCCTTAACCTGCACTCCTGTCGTTTTCTTCTCAATTTGAATTGGATTATCCTTCACAATTTTATAGTGCAGTTCCACAGGGGATGTTTCAATCACGACATACACATTATAATTGCTTGATTATAGAAGAATGAATATGTCACGCCCCGAGCCTACACCCTGGGCGGGACCGGCACCCGGAGACCATTTCTGGCCCCAAGCGAACCCTTGGCCTGGCTTTCTTAACTCAGCGGAAACCTCAACAGAATAACTCAATGCAATACAATATTACAAAACAACTTAACTTAAAAAAATATGGCCATAAAGGCAACTCGAATCTCAAAATAGAATATTTACAAATATATATATATGAGAGACTCAAAACTAACTGACTGACTGTCTGTCTATGAAGCCTCTAAAATACTGAGATGGATGTTGGGACAAACCCCGCAACATCCTAATAAAACAAAAACTAAGAACACAAAATAATTGAGTCCTCCGGAATGCAAGGAGGCTCACCACTGACTCTGGAGTGCTCAGCTGGATCAACGACATGCAGGATGCT